TATTTATCCAATATTAGTATTATTTATCCTCAGATTAATTTTATTTTTCCTCAGGTTAGTTTTAGTTTTCCTAATATTAGTTTTTAATATTAGTTAATTGAAAAAAAGAGAAGTCACCGCAGTAATTCCCTCCCAAAAATTAAAAAAATGTTTAGTGCTCTTAATTAATTTATACAAAAATTATACAATATTATACAATATTGTATTCAAATGAGATATCCACAATGAATAGGTTTAGCTTGCGATTGGAGAAAATTTAAATAGGATCAAATTCAAAACTTTATTAATTTGCCTCTTTTCAATTTCTCTCGAATTTGTGATATATAATTTATTCTGTAAATATAAATTAAATTTAATTTTTAATAATATACAACATTCGAGCAACGACTCTAACAAGTGTCGAAAAATTCAAACGACGTCAATTCTCTTCATTTGCTATTCTGAAAACGAATATTTTCTTTCTCGACATCAACACGGTGTCTCGAACAAATAAGAATAAAATAAAATTATGTTTATTACTAATATTATAATTTATTTAAAAATAAAATGTTGCGAATGAGAATGGCAGAAATGTTAATTACGTAGTTAATTACTCGAAGAAAACTGTATAGATGCATCTCTCTCCCTCTCCTCTATTTTTTCAGAGTGTATTACAATATAATTTAAATATAAAATTTTCTCTGCAAATATTTTTATTTTTTTTATTTCTTATTTTTTAAATAGATAAAATAAATGATTTTTCTATTTTATAATGTATAAATAATTTTGAAAATTTAATTTGGATTATGAAATAACATATAGTATTTTCTAATTTTAATATTCTTATAGCAACAATGCTGTACATCTTATATTTCAAATATTATTTTGATTAAGTGTAATCTGTATCAATAAATTATTTTGAGAAGCTCAATAAAAAGTGTGATATATGTATAATTGTACAGAGAGACAGACTACCATTTTAATAGTCACATCAAGTCAGTAACATAAATATTGTTAAGTGCATGAGTCAAAAAAACACTTATTTTCACTTGCTCTTTAAATAAATAGCTGTATATAAATGTATGGCATAAATTCGACAGAGACGTGAAAAGAGACAAATTAATCAAATTTTTGACATAGGCAAAACATAATTCAAAATGATACGTGAATTGATTGTTCGAAAAATAATGAACAAAATTAATTTGTTGTCAGTCGCTAAAACTAATTTTTTTTATTATTTATCACAAAAGATAAGCGTTAAATTTGAAAATTAATATTATGTATTAGTTCATAAACTGTACTCTCTTTACTTTAAATTACTATAAAATTACTTTCTTTACTTTATTAATATTTTCTTAATTTATTATTAACAAAATAATTTCAATTTTAGTATTAATAATAATGTATTGTATATAATTTTTTTTTTAATTTTTAATATGTCAATTATTTTTTATTTCTAAATTACAAATATGTATACTCGATATAATTTTTTATTAATTTCCTAAAAATAACAGCCATCATTATTTTTCGAACAATATGTAACCAAAAATAAACTCACATTGCGTTGAGTCAATTATCTAAACCTCTGCTTTAATCCGCTTTAATGTTCCACTGCTGCTCTGCTATAATCCCATATGGTTTGGCACATACACTGATCACTACACTGTTCTATTATTTTATATTTGCAATAATTATTTATCGCACTTCACTACACATAAATACACTTCGAAATAAACGGACGATACGAAAAAAATAAAATCACTCGCGAATGCATTCGGCACTTTCGATCCCGCTCGATATCGCATTCGCGAATAAAAACACGAACAAAATATCTATGGAAAAAATATACTTTTCCGATTCCGGGAAAGCGAGCTCCCGAATATTAGTCGCATTAAACGCATCGAAATGCCCTTAAATGAATTCGTGCGACATTTCCCGGCGCGTCGCGTCTTTACGTGACATCGCGAAGTGTTATGGCGGAGCGACACTGCGCGCCATCTGACTTTGACGCGGATAATCACGGTATCACAATCTCTCAAGCAACGCCCGCCACTTCCCCACAATTTGAATATCCGATTTCGACGAATTCGCGCTTCTCAAACACTTTCTCCGATACTCGGCCACTCCTGCAGATGCTGGAGCATTCGCGAAACTCGTCGAGCGGATAAAGAATCCTCGCGAGGCTCTTTGGAGAGCGAATAGCGCCGAAATGCGCGCGAGAATCACGGCGGAATGTTCTTTCCCCTTCACCCTCCCACAACAATTCGCGATCCTCCGACACTGCCGAATTCCCGTCGACGCCCGGATGCTCCTCGAGATTATTCGGTCCATCGAGTCCAAACACGGCACTCCCGTTTTTCGCGTTACTCGCTCACGAAATCTAGACAAAACGGGGAGCAGTCGCGACGCGCACTCTGCTCCTCCATTCCACAATTGCCTACTTCACACTTCACTATCTCTTATATCCGAGTTCCGAGCCGAGCAACACTCACGTCGTAGTTCCGGGGGGTACGATAGAGGTCGCGGCGGTCGCGGCGTACCCGGAGAGCTCGACACTCGACGACCCGCACGCTACGCGTCTGGCGCGAGACTGATTCCAAATACCAATCGCGGAGCTCTATAGTTCGCCGTGACGGCCGCGAAGCGTGATTGGCGGAGCGTAGCCCCCACGGATTGGTATAAAAGGAGCGCGGATCTAGCTGCGGACGATCAATTGACGCTCAGACTTCGTCCGATGCACTCGTGACTCTTATGCTGTTATTTAAATAAAATTATATAGCTATGCTCATCTAAATGAAACTTTGGCAGCATCTTATCCTTATATAGATAATAAAAATACGTATTATTTATATCTGCATCTTATTGTTAGATGAAGAAAAGCATTACCTTTACTAAATTATCTAGAATAATTCTCAGATAATTTTGATTATGAATTATTAGCACATAAAAATACTTAAATAGTAGAGCTTAAGCAGTAAGTAATAAAAATTTATAAATAAAAATATGTATGCATATATTTTTATATTCTTTTTATAATTTTTTTATAATTACGTTTGCATAAGCAGTCTTAAAAATTGTTATTTAAAAAATTATCTAAATGAATTACCATATGATTTTATCTTATATCTAAATATATTTAAAACAAAATCATCTCATTTCAGCCAATTTTTTAATCATCTAACCGCATTACCTTTACTAAATTATCTAGAATAATTTTCAGATAATTTTGATTATGAATTATTAGCACATAAAAATACTTAAATAGTAGAGCTTAAGCAGTAAGTAATAAAAATTTATAAATAAAAATATGTATGCATATATTTTTATATTCTTTTTATAATTTTTTTATAACTACGTTTACATAAGCAGTCTTAAAAATTATTATTTAGAAAATTATCTAAATGAATTACCATATGATTTTATCTTATATCTAAATATAATTAAAACAAAATCATCTCATTTCAGCCAATTTTTTAATCATCTAACCGCAACGCTACATACGAGCGTATCGAACGAAGTCTGAGCGTCAATTGATCGTCCGCAGCTAGATCCGCGCTCCTTTTATACCAATCCGTGGGGGCTACGCTCCGCCAATCACGTTTCGCGGCCGTCAGAACGAACTATAGAGTTTCGCGAAAGATATAAAAGAATTTATAGTTCGTTCTGACGGCCGCGAAACGTGATTGGCGGAGCGTAGCTCCCCGGATTGGTATAAAAGAAGCGCGGATCTAGCTGCGGATGATCAATTGACGCTCTGACCTCGTTCGGTACACTCGTATGTAGTGTTGCGGTTAGATGATTAAAAAATTGGCTGAAATGAGACGATTTTGTTTTAAATATATTTAAATATAGATAAAATTATATGGTAATTCATTTAGATAATTTTCTAAATAATAATTTTTAAGACTGCTTATGTAAACGTAGTTATAAAAAAATTATAAAAAGAATATAAAAATATATGCATACATATTTTTATTTATAAATTTTTATTACTGCTTAAGCTCTACTATTTAAGTATTTTTATGTGCTAATAATTCATAACCAAAATTATCTGAGAATTATTCTAGATAATTTAGTAAAGGTAATGCTTTTCTTCATCTAACAATAAGATGCAGATATAGATAATATGTATTTTTATTATCTATATAAGGATAAGATGCTGCCAAAGTTTCATCTAGATGATCATAGCTATATAATTTTATTTAGATAACAGCGTAAGAGTCACGAGTGCATCGGACGAAGTCTGAGCGTCAATTGATCGTCCGCAGCTAGATCCGCGCTCCTTTTATACCAATCCGTGGGGGCTACGCTCCGCCAATCACGCTTCGCGGCCGTCAGAACGAACTATAGAGCTTCGCGATTGGTTTTTGGAATCAGTGTCGCGCGAGACGCGTAGCGTGCGAGTCGTCGGGTGTCAAGCTCTTCGGGTACGCCGCGATTGTCGCAACCTTTACCGTATCCTCCCGGAACTACGACGTGAGTGTTGCTCGGCTCGGAACTCGGATATAAAAGACAGTGAAGTGTGAAGTAGACAATTGTGGAATGGAGGAGCAGAGTGCGCGTCGCGAATGCTCCCCGTTTCGTCTGAATTTCGTGAACGAGTAACGCGAATAAACGGGAGAGCAAGTTCGGGAGTGTCGTGTTTCGACGCGATAAACCGAATAATCTTCTCGAAAAGCATCCGAGCGTCGACGGGGACCCGACAGTCTCTGAGGATCGCGAATTGAAGGGCTGGGAGAACGGGGCAAAGACGTTCCGCCGTGATTTCCGCGCGTATTTAGGCGCTGTTCGCTCGCCAGAGAATCTCCCGAGGATACTTTCTCGTGCCGAAGGATGTCCCGGAGTTGACGGGTGTTCGACACTCTCGGAGCATCGCGAGCGAGTGCACCAGCATTTCCAGGAGTGCTCGAGTATCGGAGAAAGTCCGAGAAGCGCGAATTCGTCGAAATCGGTGATTCAAATTGTGGGGAAGTGGCGGGCGTTGCTTGAGATATTTTGATATCGTGACTATCCGCGTCACAGTCAGATGGCGCGCAGTGTCGCTCCGCCATGACACTTCGCGATGCACGGAAAGATGCGGCGCGCCAGGAGATGTCAGTGATATCACGAATTAATTTAAGAGCATTTCTAGCCTAATGGGAATGTACTTGTGATGGCTGTATTATTTTTTACTTAATAAATAACAAGGGCATTCGATGCGGTTAATGTGATTAATATTCGGACGCTCGCTTTCCCGGATTCAGAAAAGTATATTTTTTTCAAGATATTTTGTTCGTGTTTCTATTCGCGAATGCGATATCGAACGTGATCGAGCGGGATCAAAAGTGCCGAATGTATTCGCGAGTGATCTTATTTTTTTCCTATCGTCCGTTTATTTCGAAGTGCATCTGTGTGTAGTGAAATGCGATAAATAAATATTGCAAATATAAAACGATAGAAAAAACAGTGCAGTGATCAGTGTGAAACCATATGGGATTATAGCAGAGCAGCAGTGGAACATTAAAGCGGATATGTTTAAAGCAGAGAGGTTTAAATAATCGACTCAACGCAATGTGAGTTTATTTTTACATATTATTATAGTTTAGAAATATAAAAAAATTTTTTGACATATTAAAAATAAAATTATATATATTACTGTAATACTAATGTTAAAATTGAAATTATATTTTGTTGATAATGAATTTAAGAAATATTAATAAAGTAAAAAAATAATTGTAAATAAATGTAGAAAATGATTTTCGATAATCAAAAATTTGCACAAAAATATATAATATTGTAAAGTTTCGGCAAAGTCATATCGTATATGATCCGATTTTTAGATATATCAATTAAAATTGAATTAAAAATTTCACCTATATTTTTCAATACATTTTTTTATTTACTTTTGAATGCATTAATTTTATTATTGCTTGAAAAATTTATATTAATAACAAAGAAGAGAGTTATAATTAAGGAAATTATCAATGAATAAGCAGCAGCTTAGTAAATTATGTCATATTTAATCATTATACTTAACAATTATTTATCTCTCATATTATATTATATGTAATTTTTTTATCCACATTATATATTTTCTGTAATATATTATTTGCATGTATATAATTATACATATTTAAAGAAGCTATTTAGAAATGATTTGAAGGAAGGGAAAGAATAAAATGACACACATTGGGCCGAGTAAAGCAAATATTTCATTTATTAGTGACTCTGCGCAATCATAAAATATATTCATGTAACGATCAACGAGATATAACATCGATAGAGCTCGGCGTTGAACGTGACGAGATAATCAACGGGTGAAAAAGAGGGGGAACGGAAGTAATCGCAGACACCCTAGAGGAAGTTGCGGACTCGAGGGGATAATAAGAGGGTTGGGGAGGGGGCGCACCTTGTTAACCGGATCTCACCATTTTTCTCCCTGCTTGCGACGAAGCACGCTTCGCGAAAAAAACGGCACATATCTCTCGTCTCGTTCGTGTACACGCGATATAAAAATAGAATCCACGGTGCGCAACACGGTGTACGTACTAATGGTGAACATCGGTTGAACAATGGAAGAGGGAGGACGGAGAAAAACTTAAAACTCATGAAAAGGACCCTAGCAGCATAATATATCCGAAAAACGTCCGGAAGATATCCAGAGGATATCCATAGGACATTCGAATATCCTCTGAATATTTTTCGAATATGTGTGCTGTTATAGGGGAGGATTACAGACTTGAAAAATTAAACGTCAATCAGCTCGCGACGCTGTAACATTCGTATATATTATATATATATATATATATATATATATATATATATATATGTAGTCCGACTACGAGTCAACATCACTATGGCAGACGTGTATTCGAACACTCGCGTTCAGACAACGAGTGTTTGTTCGGAAGAAGAATCACCCTCTAAACAGCGAATCACCTCACGATTACGAAGTGATTCTTTCTTTTTACGCTAAATAAGGACCGATCGACCGGTCGGAGTAATCGGCTAATTGCGATCGATGTTTCGCGAGTAACGTCACGCACCCTTTCTGTCGAATCGCAACCTCCTAACCCTCGTCGAATCATTTTACGGGAGGCTAAATAGAATTCCATGATCCCTTTAATCGATTCGATTCGTACAAAAAAAATATATATATATATATATATATATATGTATGTATGCTCAATATTACTCGCGGAACACGTTATTCGCGTGTTTTACTCTGCGTGTGCAGCTGCATCCCAGGTAGCAAACGTACGTCATTTTGACGTTTAATGACGTCATCAGACGTCAAAATGACATTTGACGTTTAATGACGTCACAGATGTCAAAATGACATTTGACGTTTAATGACGTCATCAGACGTCAAAATGACATTTGACGTTTAATGACGTCACAGATGTCAAAATGACATTTGACGTTTAATGACGTCATCAGACGTCAAAATGACATTTGACGTTTAATGACGTCACAGACGTCAAAATGACATTTGACGTTTAATGACGTCACAGATGTCAAAATGACATTTGACGTTTAATGACGTCACAGATGTCAAAATGACATTTGACGTTTAATGATGTCATCAGACGTCAAAATGACATTTAACGTTTAATGACGTCAGTTTGTTACTTGGGGTGTGTGACTCGGGCCGCGCCGGATCCCTGAAGAGGGGGAGGGTACGTAACGATGAAATTAATTGTCAGGTCGTGAAAGGGAATTACACGCTCGATTATTTTGAATGTAACAAAATTAAACCGGAAATTTCAAGGAGAAGGATATGGAATGATAATTAGATGTTAAACTATTGAAATAAGTTACCGAAAGTGGATCTAAGGAGGTAAATATAGATATCGTAAGAGAGAGTTGTTGGAAATAAATTGCCCGCGAAAAGGGAAGGGGCAAAATACAGCAAAAATACGTCTCTTCGTGTATTTTCAATATAGAGAACCCCTACTCGCGCCGGGATGGCGGGACGCAACCCCGGGCGCGGCCCAATTTACGACATCTCTACGCGGCGAATCGGATCTCTATTCGACTCGCCATTCGCGTAACGCACTATGATCGAGGCTACGACATACGGCCGCGTTCCTACGATTTATTAACGACTTGGCCGTGTTATATAAATATATATATTTATAATATGTACATACAGGGTGAGCTTTTTCAAGTGTTACAATCTTATATCTCGGAAATAAAGCATTTCGAGGGGGACATAAAATGGTGTCATTGGTTGGAAGGTCACGTGAAGGTCACCTTTAATTTCTCATATTTTTTATCGCATGCTCTTCTAGCTTATCTCGAGACCTTTCCAAAATACTTATTATAATTAAGTATTGACGTGACGACCTTCAAACGACCGTCCAAGGTCAAATCTTTGCCACTCGAAATATTTTTCTCTAAAATTCTTCGATTTCCGAGATACAAGTTCGTAAAGCTTAAAGAAACTCACCCTGTATATATTAAATATATATATGTGGAAATCGCGACGCGCGAAGGGAGACGAAACAGGACCAGCTGATGGCGCCTGTGCGCTACGCGCTCACCGCGTATATTAATTATTAATAATATCTGAGATTGTTTAAGATATACAGATTCCTTGCTATCGGCTTTCTCCCTCTCTCTCTCTCTCTCGTTTTTTCCTCCTCCGCTCTGTTTCGCGCTCGCAGACGGGAGATCTTAGCAGCCGACCTGGTGCAGCATCGACGCCAGCCGGAACACCCGCATCCAGGCGAACATGCCGGTGGATGGGGAACGGCAGGTGGCCCGCGTCGACGACGACGTCGACGAGGTCTTGCGTTGCTCCTGAGCGATCGACGGCGACGTCGCGTCCATGGATGCGGCGTCGCTGCTCTCCGACTTCCTCTGCTTCTGCTGCTGCTGCGGCGAGTACTTCATGTCCGCTGTTACGAAACGGGGGAAGAAAAGGGAGAGATGATATAAGATGATGAGAGATCGGGGGAGAAGATTGCGCGGTATTTCTGCCCGCCGGAGATGAAACTTGGAGAACGAGATCGTTAACGGTAGAACGTGGCTCGTCAGTCGTTTTGTTGTAGCGTGATGCTTTAATAAAAGCCGAAATGTATCGTTACGTTTCAGTTAACGAGGCTGTCAAGTTTCTCTCTTGAGAAAGAACAGATAGATTTCTTACAGCGAGAAATACTGCTGTTTTAAGTATTATGCATTGAAATAAAATTTATTAAATTCGAATAAATATTTATTTCAATACTGTCTGATAAATTATTTAATAAAGGCCGAAATGTATCGTTACGTTTCAATTAATGAAGCTGTCAAGTTTCTCTCTTGAGAAAGAACAGATAGATTTCTTACAGCGAGAAATACTGCTGTTTTAAGTATTATGCATCGAAATAAAATTTATTAAATTCGAATAAATATTTATTTCAATACTGCCTGATAAATTATTTAATAAAGGCCGAAATGTATCGTTACGTTTCAATTAATGAAGCTGTCAAGTTTCTCTCTTGAGAAAGAACAGATAGATTTCTTACAGCGAGAAATACTGCTGTTTTAAGTATTATGCACCGAAATAAAATTTATTAAATTCGAATAAATATTTATTTCAATACTGTCTGATAAATTATTTAATAAAGGCCGAAATGTATCGTTACGTTTCAATTAATGAAGCTGTCAAGTTTCTCTCTTGAGAAAGAACAGATAGATTTCTTACAGCGAGAAATACTGCTGTTTTAAGTATTATGCACCGAAATAAAATTTATTAAATTCGAATAAATATTTATTTCAATACTGCCTGATAAATTATTTAATAAAGGCCGAAATGTATCGTTACGTTTCAATTAATGAAGCTGTCAAGTTTCTCTCTTGAGAAAGAACAGATAGATTTCTTACAGCGAGAAATACTGCTGTTTTAAGTATTATGCACCGAAATAAAATTTATTAAATTCGAATAAATATTTATTTCAATACTGCCTGATAAATTATTTAATAAAGGCCGAAATGTATCGTTACGTTTCAATTAATGAAGCTGTCAAGTTTCTCTCGTTGATGTTTGAGTAAGAAAAGATAGATTTCTTATAACGAGAAATACTGCTATTTTAAGTATTATACACTGAAACTTTATTGAGTTTGAATAAATGTTTATTTCAATAATAAATTATTTATTTAAAACTAATAATATTGATTTGATGTGAAAAGTATTTATTTGATATAAGAAAATCCTTTTCAAAACAGACAAATATTTATTTGTTTTAAATAATGATTTATTAAGCAGCATTGAAATAAATATTTATTAATTTAATAACTTTTTTTTAGTGTATGATTTAATTTTGTTGAGAAAAAACTGTACAAAAATTATTTTTAATGATTATTTTTAAACTTCTTACGAAGCTGTCAAGTTTCTCTCATTTGAAAAAGAACGAAAAGATTTCTTACAGCGAGAAATACTGTTATTTTAAGTATTATAAATTTAATTTTGTTGAGAAAAAATTGTATGAAAATTAATTTTAATAACTTTTTTAAATATCTTGTATTTCAGCTATAGATTTTTATTTGATAGATTCGCATTAAATTCAACAAGTTCGCGTGTATGAGCGCG